TGAAGTTTCCAATTCTAAAAAAAGAATTGGTTACATTTTTTATAAGAGTGCAGATAACATTTGTTTTTAATGCATTTACATATAGAAATTTTCAGCCCATGTTGTTTTGATCCAGAGCTCACAGTTCTGGTTTCTGGTGACCTTGAGAATGTTTGTGATGATTATGTTTACAAATGGCTTCATCGTACTTCAAACTATGAGTTTTTACACATAAAGAAAAAATCTAAAAACAGGTATATGTTTATAAGTTTTTATGAGCTTACTAGCACTAATACGTATCTAATTTTTATTTATTATTTAGGTTTGGTCATATTCATTTTTCTAACCATAAGGATGCAGGTGAATTCTTTTATATAATTGGTAACAAAAAAATAAAAGGACCATTAGATAAAGTCATCATATTTACAAGAGTGAAATATTATAAATCGGCATTAAAAGGTAGATTTGTCCTGGTAAATATTAAGATAATCCTGGCTGATGATTAACTATGTGTGAAAATTTTTTATGCGATTAAGCAGTTCACTGTTTATAAACATCAATATATACTAATGTTTGAATAGTATTTTTATAAAAAAAGAAAGCCCGAATGACTCGTTTCTGAACAACCCGCTTCCAAATAACCCTCTCCTAAATGACTCGCTGGCCCTGAACGACCTGCATGCCCTGAACAACCCACTGGCCCTGAATGACCCGCTGGCCCTAAACGACTCGCTGGTCCTGAACGACCAGCTAGCTCTAAACGACCCACTGGCTCTGAACAACCTGCTTGCTCTGAACAATCTAATGCTCCTGATGACTTACAATCATTAATTGAAAAAGTTTTAAACTTAGAATTAATAATTAAAAAATTAGTAAATAGTATGAAAGAGCTTGAAACAAACAAAATGGATTTGTTCTGGTAAATATTAAGATAATCCTGGCTGATGATTAACTATGTGTGAAAATTTTTTATGCAAATGCATTAAAAACAAATGTTATCTGCACTCTTATAAAAAATGTAACCAATTCTTTTTTTAGAATTGGAAACTTCA